GATACCCACACAAAAAAACACATCAAAACAGAGAAACAAAATAAAAAAGTTGTAAAGCCTAACCCGAGTTTGGCCACGATTTCTTTTTATTATTTGTTGTGTTTCTCTTAAAAAAACAAAAGAAAGAATTGTCACCTCACCACCAAGTCCAACTCTTCTACTGCTGTGGAGTGGAAGGAGATAAGAAAAGAAAATAGAGAACATAAATAAATGCAATTGAAAATAGAGAAAAAAAATTGCAAAGAGACTTACCTTGTGCAAAACCAGGAGAAGGGGACGAGAAGAGCGGTGACGAAGGAAATGAAAGTTTGGTAGCAGAAAAGGTGAGATTTAGGTTTTAAAAAGTATTTTTCCACTTTTAGCTCCTTTTTTAAAAACTATTTCAAATTAGTCCATCAAAGTTTCAAAAATCACGTTTAGACCCCAACTTTTATTTTAAAATTTTCAAACTGGTTCCTGCCGTGTCTTGACCGTGTCCCAACCGTTGACCGTGTCCAAGGCGTGTCGGGGGCGTGTCGGCGTGTCCGACACTCCAACACTCCAGCATTTTGGAGTGTCCGTGCAACATAGCTGATAAGCATTCTATACCTTTTAATTCTATTAGGCACAGGAATGCATGTATGCGTATTGGTTGGACAGAATGTGGGACCCATTGGGAAAATAAGTCATGGAGATTTGCAATACGTGCCATATTAGCAATAGAGGACCCTTATAAAAGACACTATTATAAGTCAGTGCCTATTATTACATTAGGCACTGTTTTCAGTCCCAAAGAATGTAAAAGGGACTGATTACCCTCAGTCTCTTTTAGTCCTTTTTTTAGTAGTGCACTGAATTAATTTTTTTTATATACAAATGATAGTCTAAAAAATTATAAATTAATCCTACCTTCCACCTAACGCAACAAGATGATCATGTTGTTGTATTTGTCAACAAAAAAAATGTTGTTGTTCTTTTATAAGATATCTTAAATATTATATATTATCAAAATATTAATTCAGACTACGTTCAAACATTCAAATAATAGTCCGAATTAATAATCTGACAATATAACTTTGGTTTAGGATATGGTATACCTTTTGACCGCATGCCCAATGTGTAGGAAATTTGGACACCCCTCCACATAGGCACACGTGATGGATGTGTTTCACTGGACGGCATTGTGGCCTGTAAGAGCAACTCCACACATTTGCCCATTGCCATGGCAAGGGGGGAGCTAGGGCAGCCACTATTCACATGAATAGTAGTTGCCCTTGCAAATAGTATTGTGTGTTTCCACCCGTTGCCATGGCAAAGGGCAATTACTATTCATTTTTTTGTTTTTTTCACAAATTTGTTTACCTAAATAATTAATTTGGATAATATTTTCGGATAAGATTTTTGGGTTCGTACGTGTCAATATTTATTATAAAATTTATATCTCAATCGAATAAAATTTTGGTATTTATAGAAAAAAAAAATCAATAATTTTTTTCATTTTTTTATTGCACAAAAATTGGCTGCCGTTGGATTGGAGAAAAAAATCTGATCGGAGAGCCCAGAGCGCGACACGTGGACTTTAGCGGCACTGTAGCGCATAGACTGTAGCAGTACTATAGCACGTGAGCACTGTAGCGGCACTATAGCGCTGACGTCAGTGCCAAAACGAGAGTTGGAGCTCGGGCCAGCCCATGTTGCTGGGTCCCACCTTGTGCCCTGGCTTGGGCTCCTCGCTCGAAACAGATTTTCTCATTTTTTTCCCCCGGCCCGAGGCTTGGTCATGCCGCTGGAGTTGCTCTAATGAAGGGAAAACCTCAATTAGTGGAAATAATACAAAATTAATCAGCAGCTTTGTATTGAAGTTGCTTTCTATTGTAGTTGCAGCTTCAACATCATTTGGTCAAAGTCAACATATCATATATGATCATCAGAAAAGACAACTATTTTATTTTTATTTTTAAATAATTTTGGCGCACTCGATTTGATTTGCTTAAAAACTATATTCAACACAATTGTTGAAGTTTCATCTGTCATGCAGACGAAGACCTAATTTGTAGGCACCACAATTAAAATAATTCGTTCACATGGGTAACACTAATTAACAAGATTTGGACGAAAAGAATTTTAAAATATCCACTTGTTTGACATTAAGGCCAATATATGCTAATTTTCTAATAAATTGAATCAAAGGAATAAGATGCTATGAACTTCAATATTTTGTCTTCACTCTCTCAATTTTTTTATATACGACTTTTATTCAATTTGAACTCGGAACTATATGCCACTAGATCAAATTATCATCGACAAATCCTATTTCTCATTTAAAAAAATAGAGAGTCAAGTTCTAAAATAATTTTCTTTTATTAAGGAAGAGAAAGGGTTTGATAATTAATTAAACAACTATATGAAATTGTGAGATTAATGAACATACCTGGATCTCAAGTATAAGGTTGTGGCCTCTGAAGGCAAAGGCAATCATTCCAAAGCTCAATTTTCCCTTCCTCGTATATTACTTGTATTGAAAATAAAAAAAAATAAAACAAGAGTTTGCGGTCGTACGCATACACCTAGCACATGTCCGCCGCTCCCGTTGTTCTTCCTCGGTAGTGTGTGGTGGTCCGTGGCTGCGATTAAAGTGCATACTGCACTTGACTCTTGGATTATGGGAGCGCTTCCGCGCGGGTGGCTTGCTCACCCCCATCTTCCGTCGGCCTCTTTGATACCCCCTGGTATCGGTTACTTCTCCTTGGTGGTGGTGGATCTGCTCTGGTGGTGCTGTTGGAATGCTCTGTGCGGCTGCTCATGTGTTCTAGATCTAGGGTTTCTTTGTTTAATAGTTTATGAGCTTATGTTAATTATTTGGTTTTGTATCTTTGGGCCTTTATTTGTTGGTGTTGGGCTGCCTTTTGAATTGAGTTTTCTCAAATTGTAATGTTTCCCACTATTAACTACTTTTATGTATTTGTATCTAGATAATCAGTGGGTAATGGCTGTTTTTCTAGTAGTGAGGGTATGATACATTTATGTGACTATTGACATTAACATTTCCAATATGTCGGTCATGTGGAGGAAACATGAAGTGATGAGCTGGACTTGTTCTGGTTAATATGCCCTTCCCTTCTTTCAAAGAGTATGATTGAGCACTGAACTTTTAAACCCACCAAAACTTTGTCATCATAAATTAGTAGCATCAAATCACAAATGTCAATATATGTTGCCATTTTGTTCCACAACATGATCCTACCAAAAATCTAGATGTCACTTATAACACTTTTAAGTTGAGCCTTTGAGAAATTACACACAATATTGCTTTGATGATGTTAACAATCAAAAGGAGGTCCTAGCAATAGAGTTCAAGTTGGAAAATTGGGCACAACAAAGCACTGTGTACCAGCAATGGATCACAATTCGCTCCATTCCATTTATCTATCCATTAGCTTAGTGAGCTTTTATTTCACATCCATAAAATTTGATCTCTTCACCCGAATAACATAAACTATTATGACAATTATACTCCTCTTTAAGTTGTTCTAAGATACCTTGAGCTAGCAGATGTTGTCCTTTTCAAATTATGATACGAGAGTGTGGAGATAAAATTTGAGTATGTGGGCAGAAATTTCAAGTTTTCTAAACATGACTGGTTTAATAAATAGGTTATATAGGTATTTTAGGGGATTGACCTCAAAATGACCAAAATTTTTATCGTGCTGTTGCACCCGCTAATTTCCTAAGTTATGAATTTAATTTTTTAGATTTATGTACTATGTAGATTAATTTAAATTACATTCATTTAACTTTATTTAATATGATGATGATGTTCATTACTCATCGTAGTGAGTAAAAGTATTATCCAAAAACAAAAGGACTAAGAGAAAGGAAAAAGTTTGGTCGAGTTCATGTCATATAAGTGCGATCAGTTGGATATTAGTCAACAGAATCAAATTTTTTGCATGCCTTGGTCCGCCTGGTCTTGATAGTTTGGGGACTGCTGGCACAATTTGGGCTGAAGAAGCGTGTGGGGTCGTGCTGGGATGTTGCTGCACCTTTTTGGCTGTGGCCTACGCTTGAGCACGATAGGGAAGATTAGGTGCTGTTCTAGTTTGATTACGTGCAATGGTATTTTTTTCTTGATTGAATTTTCCTCCTTGGGGAGTTTTTTAAAGTAAGGTTTTAACGAGACCAAACAGTTGCACTGCTTTTTATTTTTTTTCAGTAATTCTGGCTGATTGTATCATATTTATCCGATTATGAATGAAGTCCATTTGTGTTTGATTTTTTTTTTAAAAAAAATTATTTGTAATTGCTTTGTTAAATTCTTTTGGTATATGGGAGGGAGCACAGTATGGCTTATTGGGCTGGGCGCTGTGCTCCAAGTAGGGAGGATTGACAGGAACCTTGTTTATGGGACCCGACTGGGTCCAAACCCTGATAGTGAAGAAAGGACGTGGCATCATTGGGATCCACATCTATTGTCCCAATCGCTTCTCTCTCTGTAAAAATCAAAATGCGAGAGTCTGACTCCGAAACAACGGCGTATCACAGCTCTTCTCATGTCCGCTGGGAACGCTTTAATTTTTGCCGCTCTTATTTTAAAAAACCAAGGTCATGACAGCCAGAAAAAGCATAAAAGGAGGATGAGGATGACATGAGCTTATCTTGCAACTCAAAAGCACCTTGGGCATCCTCAGCCACAAGTCTTGCAAACACCTCAAATAAAAATGATATTGCACCTCAAAACCATAAAATAATAAATAAATAAAAATAAATTGAATTTAAGGATAAACATTCATAACCGCTTATCGACAAAGCCCTCTGCTTATGATTAAGAATGAAGCCATTCCAACTTGAAGCAGAAATTCACTTGATGTAAAATTTAATACTTGAATTCAATGAAGAATATTACATGGCTTACATGGGGCGTGACAAACTAAACAGCATCCTCAGCCAAAAAGCTAGCTTGGCGATGGAAAGGTCCTCAACCACAAGTCTTGCAAAAGCTCAAATAAAATGAAATTTTGAATTTAGAAATCTTGGGCATTCAAAGCCCTCTGCTTTATCATCTCGGCATCTTTGCCATACAACAGACATATCCCACACTTTTTCACCTCCAACTTCGAATAGCCAACATGCAGTACGGTGAAGTCAACATTGACCTCAGTAACAAGTTTGTAAAACGCAGTGGGGCTTTCAGCTCCCTTTACAACTTCTTCAAAGACATTATTATACCACCACACAAACACCTCATGTTGATCTCTGCCTGCGAAGAGAAAAACGATCGGATAATCCAAAAGATGGTTGACTTCATGGCTTTCACCATTACTAGTTTTGAAGTTGTACTTGCATCCAATCTTCACTTGCATTGCAGTAGCAACAACAAGAGATAGAGCGAAACCCAAGAAATCTGTGCTAAACCAATCACGAGGAAACTCAATCTTTATTGAACATCCCTCACTTTGATGGCTGAACCATTTTGGAATTTCATAGCCCCAACATCTAATGGCAACCAAAGATCCCTCGCCCAAAAATTCCTGTACCATGGATATGGACATATCATAATTATTAAACTCGTGAAAAAAAAAAACAACTGCTTCAAGAGAAGTGAGTTATACAGACAGTGAGTTATACAGACAGTGTGTGTGTGCGTGTGTGAGGTAGAGAGAGAGAGAGAGAGAAAGAAAGAAAGAAAGAGAGACCTTATCTAATGGATATGCATAATTTGTTGGATAATCGGAATCATCTGAATCATATGCTTCTTCAATTTTGTCTTCTTTAAACTTTGACGATGCAATTGCCATTCGCATAATTCTGAGCTGTGCATCAGCCATTATGTTGCTTCGTGCATTGTCATCCAACTCTGGGCAATTAGAAAATATATGTTTCTCATGAAGCCCTCGAGAAAATATATATTCTTCCCAACCTTGTGTGATTGCAATGCTTGAACTTGACACTGTCTTCAGTGACGTGCAACCATCTGCTTCAAGATGTTGCAGCAATGGTGGGAGCTCTGGTAAAGATTCAAGGCTCCAGCAATTGCTTAGGTACAGGTGAGACAGCTGAGCAGCTTGTTTGATGCTTGCAGGTAAGCTCTTAATTTTGGTCAAACCCATATTTAACTCTTGTAATGAGGTTAAGCGAAAGAGGTAATCAGAGACAACCTCAAGGTTCATGCAGCCGCGGAGATCTAATTTTCGAAGCGCAACTAGATTTTCAATTGATGGGTGTAGCTCTTTAACCGCTGTATGTGATAAATTTAGAAACTCCAGATGTTCCATAGCCTTCGAGATTTCTGACAAGTGTTGAAATTTGGAGCAATTACTGAGATCAATGCTCTCCAGAGATTTCAATTTCCAAATGCTCGCTGGGAGATTCTTAAGGTTTTTGCAATGGGTCATATCAATTGTAGTTGTATTCTCGGGAAGCTCACTAAACTTGCAAAGAGATGCGCAGCCCCTTGGACTAAAACAACCCGAGAGTTTCAGCTTACAAGTGTTGCTCGGAAGACTTTTAAATTTACACCATGTAATATCTAAGTGAGATATTTTTTCGTGAGACCAAGTTGATGAAGGCAATTCCTCTATTCCTGACATAGATAATATTAAAACCTCAAGATTGCATGGCATCTCGGGAAGAATTTTGATATTGCTGCACCGCTGAAGGTCAAGATGAGTAAGCTTGTCAAGATGTTGAAAATACGAAGGAATTTCAACCAAACTTGTACATCCACGGAGATCTATATGCTCAATTTTTCGACTCTGGGAGAGATTTGGAACTTCAATTAGATGTCTACATTCAGCAAGATTGATCCATTTTAAGTTCACAGGACTCTGTAAAAAATTAAAAAAGAATTAATAACTTAGCTTGCAGATTATTACTTTCTAGGCCACATGTTATACAAGAACTAAAATAAGCATATATAACATACCTGGTCTTCATTCCAAAATTGCCCCACAACTTGGCCGGACGACAAATCAAGGCCAACAAGATTTAGAGCAGAAAATTTTGATGGCAAAGATTTCAAAGGATATGCGTCCCAGCTAAGATATTTAAGAGAATTGGGAAGATCAAGACAAAAATTATACGGACAATTACGGATACCTGCACTATAATTAGAGAGCCTTGCACGTAGCAATCTCAGTTGATACATCTTTTCGAAGTTTACATGTTCCAAGTGTAGCCTTTCAATCTCAAAGGCGTCTAGGTATATGGCTTGAACATGTCCATCTCTCTGCTAATCAAGAGCAAAATATAAATATAAATATAATATACAAAATTACATTTGTAGGAATAATTTGACTTGTTTATTGTAAATGTGAATATTACTATGTACCTCGTTATTTGTCAATACTCGACAGACATCCTCATAATTGAACAACCTACTGTGCTGTTCTCGAGCAATTGCCCTACCCATTTCTTGCACCAAATCATGCATCTCTATTTGTCCTTCTGACCATCTTTCTTTTGAAATTGATATGAGAGACCTATCAATAAGATCATTGATTCCCGCTTCCCCAAAGAAATCACAACAATCTAACATTCTTTCTACATCTTTCCTCAAATCGCCTTTATAAAAACATGCTATATCAAGAAATATCTCCTTCTCATTGTCATCTAATCCATCGTAACTCACACTCAACACTTTCTGGATTTCTCCGATTGGAACTCGTTTCACTTTTTTCCATTGAACTTCCCATTCTTGTTTGCTCTTGCAACGACGGAATGAGGACCCCATAACTTTAAGAGCTAATGGAATGCCATTAATATAATCTACCACCTCTCTTGACAACTCAGTGTAATCTGTTGTCGGAGACTTATTTCCAAAAGCTTGCGAATGAAAGAGCCCAAGAGCCTCATCAGAACCTAATCCCTCAACATTGTATATCTTTTCATGGTCAACTTTTTGCTCCAATAGGCCTTTATCTCTAGCAGTTATAATGATTCGACTTCCTTGGCAAAACCGATCATCATCACCAACAAGAACTTCTAGTTGTTCTCGAGCATTCACATCATCAAGAACAATGAGCGCCTTTGTACGCCTGAGCCTATCTTGAATATGAGGTGGTATAGACGGAGTGTCGATATTTACATCTCTTTGCTTTAATATCTCACCAACAAGTTTATTTCGCAACTGATGTAGTCCATCCGTTTTTTCTGATTTCTCCCTGACATTTGCAAGAAAACAACAAACTTCAAATCTAGAGGACTGCCTGTGAAATACAGCATCAGCAAGGGTGGTCTTGCCAATACCACCCATGCCCCAAATACCTACACAGCAAACACCTGGCGAATCCAAGCATAACAACGACTCAATTTGCTCAATTTTCTCTTCAATTCCAACTAGATCCTTTAAATCCCCTGACGATTCGCGATTCAATTTGGTCAAAACATCTTGAACAACTTCCTCAACAAAATCGGCCTCTGTCCTCCTGGAAAATATCATTATGAAAGACAAACAATAGTAAGTATATGAATCAAATTATCACAAAAAGAAATTGATACAAGTTCGAGATTTAGTATACCCTGTTTTGCTTGAATAAGGAAACCCAGACATATTGGCTGCTTCCTCCAGAGCAGCCCTCCAGTTGGCTACCTCATCCCTACTGCGCTTAAGTGGACGATCTTCAAGTGCATAAGTTCCTTGCTGTTTTCGTACATGTGATGGATCTATGCGATAAAAAATGGGTATAACAATTTGTCCATATCTTTTCTTGCATCCAAGTATATGCACAAGTTCTCTCAAACACCATGTGGAAGAAGCATAGTCTTTTGAGAAAATGACCAGTGCAATTTTCGATTTCTCGATTGCTTCTAGAAGGGCAGGTCCAATTTCGTCTCCTTTCTCCAGTCTGCGATCCATGTAGGTCTCAATTTTGTTCCGAAGTAAAGCCGCGTGAAGATGGCTGGTAAAAGCATCGCGTGTGTCCTCACCTCTGAAACTAAGAAACACATCATACTTTTCTCGAAGAGGGGGCATATCAGTATCAACAGCAGCAGCAGCAGCAGCAGAAGCAGAAGAAGAAGATGTTAATGATCTGAAGTAGATGTAGAACAGAGTGATGATGAGTATGACGATTATGATGAAAACTTGAAAGAAGTCAATGGATTCCATATCTGTTTCTCTGAATGCACCAGGGGATATAATAAAAGCAAATCTGATATTTGAGATGAAAACTTGAAGAAGAAAGATAATATGATACTGTAGATGATGGATGGGTTCAATACAATATGATATTGTAGATGATGGATGGGACCAAGAACTTTCGTGCATTCAAACCAAGAAATAAAGCATCCTAATGCAAGGAAATTTCCTAGTGATGGACTTCTTCTAGTCAATCCACCGTCCACTATTTAGTAATATATAAAGAGGAATGCTATCACGTTCTCATCCTCTCTTTTTTTAAAATTATTTTTTCTCTTTCTTCTCTCGGTTGCCTCCCTCTCTCTATTATATTATTGTTCTCTTTCTTCTCTCGGTTGCCTTCGTCTCTCGCTTTTTTCTATTTTTTTTCCATCGCTCTCCCTCTCTCCTCTCCTCCTCCCGCTTATTCTAGTTCTTATTTTCTTTTTCCCCGTCTCCGTCTTCTCTGTGTCTGTCTTCATCGATGAGTTGTAAAAACCCAAACTTTCTGTAACACAAAAACAAAAACCCCAAGCTTTAAAAACCAAAACTTCTTCTTCTCTATGTCTGTCTTCCCCCAAATGACAGTTCTCTCCCTCAGATTTCTTAACTTTCTTCTCTCTTTTTTGTGTTCATTTTGATGGGTAATGATTAAATCAGCATGAGAGAAAAGAAAGAGAGAGAGAGAGAAAGAGAGAGACAGAAAAACTAATTAAAGAAATAAAGGGAGAGAGTTATAGGCCAAAAGAAAGAGAAACAATAGTTATATAAAAAAAAAGAAAAAAAGAAAGGACAACGTATTTGGGAACGTGTACACGTGTAAGTACTTTTACAATCGCTTTTGAGCGACGGAACCCCATTCTGTGTGGTTGCCAAAAAATCACATGAGAAGAGAGAAAAGCAGTGCAAGATTACAAATTCTGCAGAGACAGCTTTTGGCCGCCGGCGTTCCACTACCAAGGCTACCAAATCAGCAGTGATAAGCTTCTATGAGACGAGTTTTCTTTCCAACGATGAAGGCCTCGAGAGCTTTGAACAGAATGTCCATGGCTCGAGCTTGTTAGCTTTGCTGCTGTGAATTTCTCTCTCTCTCCGACCATGAAGAATGAAGTGGAAGTTGCAGATCAGCTCACCATTCACCTTGAAAACAACCGGGGCTTGGCAAAAGACAGGCGTGGTGTTACTCTTGCCGGCTTCCTCATCACTGAGAAAGAACCTCAGATCGGTGGAGTGAAGAATGCCCTCCAACGCGAGTGGCGCAACATCGTACACTCGGACGATGTCAAGATTGCATGGGCCAGTCCCAATGTATATGTTATTACTGCTGCATCTGTTGTGGTGGCTAAGAAGCTTATTGAGAAAGGTCCCTGGCATGTCAACGACGACATTTTCTCCATCCAGCCATGGCCACAAAGCTCTACACTTGCAGAAATTCACCCAAACAAAGCAACCTATTGGATACAAGCACATGGGATTCCCCTTGGTTTGATGACGGGGAGGAATGCAAGACTGATAGGAGAGAGAATTGGCACTGTTATTGGAGTTGAGGACCCTGCCACCAATGGAACCAGGAGCTTTTTACGGATGAGAATCGAGATTGACTCGACAAAACCACTTCAGCTTGGTTTCTGGTTACCCAGAGCAAACGAAGGGCGAAGTTGGATCAACCTGAAATATGAAGGACTACGGCGATTCTGCTTTCGTTGTGGCAGACTTGGCCATGCAAATCTCTTGGGTAAACCATGTGTTCGTACTCTTGGCACAGTTGTTGCTCAGGAAGGGATGAAGTATGGAGCAGAGCTGGCGGTGAGAGCTGTTCGGTTCATTTTTACACATGATTTTTCATGTTATTCACCCACTATTTTGAGTTAGTTCTTGACATTTTATAGCTTTTTACTTCCTTTTTGTGTTTTCTTAGATTTTGCCTTGGTTGGGATGAAAATGAGCTAAAAGTGCATTATTAGTTATAAATTCTGTTTTTGTTCATTTTCGTAGGTCAACTTCTTGGCCTGGAATCAACATGCTCTGGTGCTCGGATGAGGTCATGATCTTCATGAGACTTGTTCCAATGGATGTTAACTACAACATATCCAAATTTGAGCTCCATTGGACAAGTATTGCCTATCCAACCAATCCATCATGTTACCACAGTTCTGGAAATCCGGATTTGGCCAGCTTTTACCTCCCTTGTGTCATCTTAACTTCTTGTTACCATAACTCTTGGTAACAAGGAATTACATTTGTAAAATAGATATTTTCGGAGCTTTTGGCATCTTTGTGAAGTCAAAGCTCCATCATGGCAAGGGGACAATGGGCTAAGGATTTATCAAAGGTGGTAGTTTTATATTAAAAGGTAAAAGCTGGAAAGGAGGAGAGAGGGAGGAGAAGTCAAAATTGCAATCTGATATTGGGAGCCTTTTGATCGTGGGAAATCAGGCTATTCCACATTCTACACAACTTGAGAGCAGCTTTTGGAGGAGCTAAGAGCAAGGAAGGAGAAGGAGGTGCAGCCAAGGAAGAAAGGAGAAGACTTCCACCATTGAAGACTTCAAGCTTTCATCATTTCCAAATCTGTAAACTCATTCTAGTTATATTTCGAGTTTGTATTTGGAATAAGTATGAGCAACTAAACTCCATAGCTAGGGCCTAGTTGAAGCCCTAAACATGATTACCTTATTGTTCTGATGCTTGAGTGTATGAATTTCTAGATGTTGTTGATGAACCCCATTCACTAATTGAATTTTATGATATGTGTTTGCTTCCTTTGCTTAATCACCTTAGGTTGTATGCATGTAGCTAAAGTTGAGAAGTTGTGTAAGATAACCAAGAACACAATTTCTAATTAGCAACAAATGATTGAACTTGTTTAAGTGAGCATCATGTGAATTGGTTTATTGACAACAATTGATGAATTCCAATTCACCAAATTAATCTATCCTTGATGTATGTTCTTCTTTGATTGATCATCTTTGAAAGCATGCTTCTTGAGATTGTTGGGATTATGTGTATCTTCATGTTATCCTAAGCAATAAATGGATGAAGTAAGAATCATCCATGTGAATTGGTTTCTTGAATACCTAATGTAAACACCATGCTATTAGGATTCTTGTGATGTTCATATTCTCTTTGAACTTAATGGGTTCTCCTTGTAATTGAATCAAAGTACGAACCATACCTAGGTTCGGTTATGAAGAGGGCACAAGTATTGTAGCACGAACCATGCACCTTACGTATATTAGAGAGAATCAATGCGTCTTGAGCCACGACCCATGGTCTTGATTACTGTTGTGTAGATACAGCTTCACCAAAATGGATTCAGTTGCATCCTCAACTTGTGATACTCGCAAGTGCACGAACCGTT